ACGGGGATTCGAACCCGCGACCCTCAGATTGCGAGTCGAGCGCCTTAACCACCTGGCCCTGCCGGGCCACGGCGATATGTCCGCGGACTTACAACGCTAGAATCCGGGTTTCGATACCTGTGGTTGGCAGAGCATAGATAGCCCATTGTGTTGCATTGTACTTGACTTCAAACAAACAAACAATACTTACTTATTCGTCTGAAAGAACCAACTAAGGATTAGTGATGTTAATTTCTTTCATCATTAAGCTGATTATTATCAAGATTATTTAACAATTGGGATATTTTTACGCTTTATTCAAAGTAAGATATTTTAAGCTGGCTAAGTTCATGAACAGAATCTTTTAAAAATGACATTTGTACATATTATTTTCTTTTATTACTTTGTCAAAAATGAAATAAGTTAAAACGAAAAGTTTCCGTGTACGAAAAGTGGTTATTAAGTTTTATTTGTTTTATTCGATATCGAATGCAACAAAATATCGGTAAGATGAAAAGTACGTGACATTTTTTTTTTAATTTTCAGATGATAAAATCATTAAGCTTGGATCAAAATATGAAGGTGGATTTCAGGACGACAGTTTTTATGGAACTGTTCCTTCTTCTCAATGTCTCCTAACATCTGACGTGCAGGCATCCATTGATCACGATGATGACTTGAACACTTGCATCTATATAAAACAAGACGCAGAAAACCAAATGGTGTACGCTAGGGGATACAATGTGGATCCGCTATCCCAAGTTGTCCAGGAAATAATCAATAATAATCCAGGTTCTCCAGTCACAGCATCTATCACTATAGGACCGATATATAATATTGGACAAATTCTGCTTTTCATGGGAACGAGGTACATCGCGTTAGTGAAGTCTGAACAAACATGGATTAAAGCAGGCGAAAATCATGTATAAATTTTTAATCGGTAAGACGATAAACCACCTTTTATACCCTAAACACAATGAACCAATTTTTAATCAACCTAAGCCTTTTCTTCAGTGGTTTTATCGTGAAGTTTGAAAATCAAGCATGCTTTGTTTTAACAGAAACATCTTTTAACACCTAAATATATATTATTGAATCTTAAAGAATTGAATTTACGGTTTGTTACAGCACTAATATCAATTTACCACCTGTAAACTTAGTCATCTCACAAATTCTAGCCCCCCAGTGGCACAGCGGTATGTCTGCAAACTTACAACGCTAGAAACTGGTTTCCAGATAGCCCATTGTGTAGCTTTGTGCTTAACTTCAAAAACAAACAAATACAAATTCCAAACTCGTAGTTTTATTAATACTTCCATACTTCTTCACCTATTAATTCTGTGGTTACTCAAATTCAGTTTTAATTTTCTACACAATTTCGCTTTAAACATTTATTCAGATGCAAAGAATCAGTACAACTTCCTAGAACTCCCTTACAATTTAAGACAGTAGCATTCATCATCAGAGA